AGCAGTAATGCTTCCCAGACTGTGACTCACTGATAGTGTGTTAGTAATCTAGGTCAACACCCAATCAATAAAGATAACAAGACCTGATTTAATCACGGTGTACATAGTAATCTCAATTGTAAAAGTACGTTCAGTGTCTATTGTTGAGGCGGTTTATCTCGGGAGATTAAAGTAGTGTGCATGTGAGCTAACAGATTGTTAGTGTTGTGGATGTCTTAATATTCGCAAACCCAAGAAGAAACCATAACGATCTAATTTTGGAAGAGTTTTGTGTAAAGAAACTAGCCCTCAAGGCCTCTGCAGGTTCAGTCCTCCAAAACAAGACCCACTGGACTTATTCTGCCCCTGCACCTGGAAGTCAAGGAGCTGATTGCTCTTCCTGTTTTTGGGTGCAAGTCTTTGGCTCAGCTGCGTTCCTTTCTGCCAAGTTTCCTCCATCAGAGTATCAAAGGTGAAACCATGTTGTTCTGAGGTCTGGATTCATTAATTATGGAGGTTTGTGGGCAGAACATTTGTTTATAGCGGTAGATAGTTCCCATGAAAACAAGCCAAAGGGACAAAATGTGAAGAGGTTACACACGTCTGAAGAAGAACCAATGAGAAGAGAGAGATGACTAATGAGAGTCCGTGTGGTTGCACACAGTCGCTGTTATTTGGTGCACACATGCTAATGGTGCTCTGCTTGTACTGTAAGTCAGCAGATAGGACTTCCCGCAAGCTGTCGTAATTCCCCAAAATGCTCTCTTTAAAGATTTGAGCCGTTGCTGGGTGAATAGAATCCCAGATGCCTGAGTGCCCCTCCGTCTTTGCAGGGGGAAACAGCCGGTCCCTGTGTCTTTTTGTCCGTTGAGGCCCCCTCCCTACATAAAGGCTTTAGTCAGACGTGTGCCTACATTCCCTCGCCCCCCACCTCCACCGTCCCAATCCAAGTTCGACTGGACTCCTGCCCAGATGAGCACCAACTCACCCTCTTTGTCTTCAGATCGGGCACATGACCTGCTCTGGCAACTGGCACCGTGGGCTGAGCTCCAAATGCCACCCACGCCCCCATTGTTACTCGTGTCCCATTTTGCCTCCTAAAAGACTCTGTGCGCCCCAGCGTAGGCACTCCGCCAAAATGGGCACTACAGCAATAATGGCGTCAGTGCTCATGTGTTAGGAGTGCGCAGTAACCGCCTTGTTGGAGAGCCTTGGCGGGCACGCTTCGGCACGGCGTTGTTGTCGTCTGGATTGTCTCACCATGACGAAATTAAGACAAATTTTCTTTTGAAATGATTTTATCTTAACAGCAGCACATTTAATCAGTCACTAAATCTCTATTATCTTTGTTTGGCATGCATACTGTAAACTGTAAAACCTGTTAATTTAATTCGAAGAAAGAAAGTACTTAATCAGGAATGTTTTATGTAACTTTCCAATCTAAGCTTGTGTCACTTAAAATTACTAATTAAAGCTGCTTAATTAAGAATGTTTTCAACTTACAAAATTGAGTTAGTGTGACTTAAAATTTATATTTTATATATCAGTTTGACCAATTTTTTGGAGTTTAAATAACTTATTGTGTTACGGTGTATATAATCTATGCAAAGACATGTTTTAAAGAGTAGAGATCTGCAATTTGGTGAACTAGTTGTGCAGGATTTTATTAAAACCAACCTATAAGCACACATTTGTTTCACTTTCTGATACGAGCCAATTCTGAAATATTTGTTTTGTTCTGGCGTGTGTGTTCAATAAAACGTGGTAAACCACTTCAGAGAAGAAGTGAAAAACCCTACAGGCCTCGTCTTCTGAAATTGCTCTCATCAGAATGTAAATGTTTATATTGGCCCGGCGAAAACTGAGGTTTTCGTCCCATCTGTTACACAATAGATTAGCATTCCGATGTAGTTCGGAACCTCGCAGGATGTAGGCGGGAATAACTGATGTGGGAGTGGAGGGAATGTCAGCTGTGAGCTAGAGCGCCCCCGCCATCCCGGAAAAACAAATCGATGGACAAGAGAGGTGATCGTTGGATGATATTTCCCCCTAAAGCCTGCTTTAAGGTTGCAGGTAAGCGCAGAAAAACTGGATTTCTCCAGTTTTTAGAACATTGCATTGATAATTAATTCAGTCCAACAAAAGCAGCTGAATGAAGCCTTCAGTGCGGGATGTGTAAAATGAAACTTGCTTTATTCCTGCAGCCAAAATATTCACCAGTGAGAGCCAACTGAGTGAATCCCAACTCAATATCCCCTTTGTTTTTATTTGATTAAGAGGGAGTATTTCTCCACACTGCAGCTTGTTATGAACATTATCTGGCCCTCTGCTCCGGAGAGAAATTTGAGACAAAATAGCAGAGGATTAACATGAGAAACAGAGAGAGAAAGTTGGGTGAGGAGGAGGCGTAGAGAAAAAGAGGGCTTGCCACAATTCCAAAGAATCCTCCTCTCCTGCTTCACCCACCCTCCCCCAGCTTCTCCTTCTCAGAGGTCAGAGGAGGGTTGCTTCCCAGAAACTGGCCCACCCTCGATCGCTCTCTTTCCATAACAAATCTTCCCAAACACAAGAGCACTCGTAGCCCGAGAAGCTACAAAACATTGAGCCTGATAGCGTTGGATGGGTTCATACAGGCTGTATGTGAGGAGTGAGATGTGTCGTCTGCTGTCTGCAGTGTTTCTCAGTCTGTGTGAGGTCCCCTCAGCCTTTTGTCATCTTAACATAAAACCCACTGTGAGATTTGCTTTTGTTGCTTTCCTGAGTTGAAGCCCTGAGCATGACTCAACTGTATTTTTCCATTATGCATTATGCTGCTAGATTGTGACTGACTTTGTGTAATTAGTTTCTTTAAAGGTCCAGTGTGTAACATTTAGGAGGATCTACTGGCAGAAATGTAACATAATATTCATAGGTTTTCACCTAAATATAGGAATTGTTGTGTATTTGTTACCTTAGAATGAGATGGTTTTTTTTATCTAGAGACAGGTTGTACATGTTTCTACAGTAGCCCTGAATAGACAAACCAAACACTGGTTGTAGATAGGGCCTTTCCCGTTTTCTGTGGCCACTGTAATTGCACCTACACAGCCTGTTCTCACTCCCAGGTCATCAAATAGAGACGCAAGGGGTGTTGAGTTACTTGCAACTTGACTGGTAGATGCCACTAAATCCTACAGACTGGTCTTTTAACGACACACATTTTGGTGCTAGAGGCTTGGTGATGTTGGGACTACATGCAGAGGTGGTGAACTGTTGTAGCTGAGGAACTAATTGCTAACGTGCTAGTAAGCGAGGAACATGCCAGCGCTAGTCATTCATTACAGTTATTTCCTCTGTACTGTTTATTCCCTCTGGCATTTTGTTCTCATGATTGTACATCCTTTCTAAAAAAATAATTAAACCTATCTAGCGAGCTTAATAACTGACAGTTATCTTGGTTGGTAATGAGACGATAAGTTCACACAGTAGATTCAGAAGAAGATGTATATAGAGGTGTATTCATTCCTCTTTTGTGGAGTGGTTTATATTCCCACAGAGGAATGTTAAAGAGTGAAAGCGGATGGTGCAACAGAGCATCCTCCATTTTGGACTGTCTGGCTTCCTATTCCCTCAGGTTGACACAAAGACTTGAATTTACTTCAAGCAAATCTACTGATCACAGTTTTTCATCTTTTTTTTTACACAAAGCAATGTGATCATCCAGCAAGGTGCTGCTTTGTAACATAAACGTGTTGTAATAGTCTCATATTACAAACTGAGCAGTGTTTTGGTGTCTGCTCTGATGAGCTACTCTGTTACTCAAGCTGAACTTCTTGGAAGAACTTTTTGAACGCCCAGCAGGCCAATTTCAGTTGCATTCTGGCACTAGAAGACCAAATGTGATTTTTTCTGGCCCAGATATGACTTCTGGATTTGGATAATATTTTTGTGAGTAGATTTAGAAATAGCTTCTAGTGACTGATGCAAAAGAACTGGACACGTAAGCAGTGTGCCTGTCTGTGATTTGCACGGTTCAGATACTAAATGTGCAGATGCACGTACTTTATTCATCTGTATCTTGATTTTTCTGATAATCCACTGTGGGAAGGTTAGGTTCCTACCAAACTCTTGCTGTACCTGAACCGTTCCAGCCTGTGGGCAAAACTAGGGTTGTTGAATAATGCTGCTTGAAGTAATTACCTGCCATGTTCAGTTAAGTAGTTAAGATTGTAAGACCTAAACCAAACAAAGTGGTTTTATCAGTTTAACATAGCATGGAAAAAACTAAGTGAATCCAGAGTGTATACGCTGCCTTTGAAGTCATGTTCGTCTTACTAAAGGAAACAGTTCAGTAAGAGTGTTGACATTGTGACAATGAGTGGAGACAAATGAGAGCGGTTTTAAACAGCTTCGAGCTAAATAGGCAAAGTCAATCTCAAAAGGTACAACAGAGTCTTTAAGCTGGAGGATGAATATACAACCGTTTCAACAGATTCATGTCACATTTACATTCCTCCAAGTTAACAGGGTGATGAGATTAGATAACTCAAACCTCAAGTTTGCCTACAATGCAGTCTCTTTCAGCTCATCAGCATCTGATATGGAAACAATAGGCTAATGTTAGCGACTGGCAGCTTCTCGCATTCCTGCATCCACCAGACAGGTCGCCCCATGCACAACCCGTAGCCATTAGAAGCTAATCAATTTGCACAGTGACGGGAACAGCGCTGCTAAATGGAATCTCTCTTTTGCACATCTATGTCATATCAGGGCTCGGGCTGGGCTCGGCAGCAGGAGCGCTTGGTTGCCAGAGGGTTGAAATGGTTGGATTGCAAGGCCGGGCTCGGTGCCGATAAATGGGACAACTGGTGCTTCTAGCTACAGTGAGGCCGCATGTCGGGAAAGCTCTCTGCACAGTGACGACTTGCTTTCCCCCCCATTGCTTTCAATAGAAGGACATGCTTGTGCACGTTCCTGACAGCAGCAAGAGCTTAGGATGAGCTTAGTTAGCATAAGAGAACAATGTTTGAAATGCAAATTGACTGGCAGCCAAACCTGGCCTTAAAGCTAAAGGTTAAGTCTCCAATTTTATTTAAATAATGAACTGGCTGTGCTGAGTTTTTCCAAGTGATACCTAGTGTTAACTGAACTGCTAAGCGAACCAAATCAAAAAGTATATTAACTGGCACTGACCTCCCCAGCATCCACCAGACTGCCAAAGGAAACACACACAAACACTCACACACACACTAATCCACCCTGACAAGATGCTGATCAGATAGAGCAGAGTGTTGCCACATACTTCAGATAGATATGCAGGTCCTGTCAGACTCATGTTTGTGTGAGTGAGTCCTCAGGCTGGATCTTATATAACTCCTGACAGGCAGAGACAGACAGTCGCAGAGATGGGGTTTGATGTACCTCAGGGCTGTACAATCCATCCTTTCTGATTCCTGCTTGTCAGAGCTGAGGTTGACAGAGCTTACCTATATTTTAAGCATTTGTCTGACACTTTCACCCACATGTATGCTGAGTTGGCAGGCAGGGGTCCCAGCAAGGACACAGACGTGCTAAGAAAAACGTCCAACTCAAGAGGAGCTGTCATTTTACTGCTTTATTGACAAAGAGGTAACGTTACTGGAGTTAAAATTGACACATTAAAGGAGTAGTCATATTAGGAGATGAGCTGAAGGATAGATAGAAGTTTTTGGTTTCCATAGTCAATTTTCCTGTTCATGGCCACTGCACAGGGGGGGAATTTTAGTACCACTCATCCTTTTAAATTTTATTAAGACTTAAAGTTGTGCATAATTAAGGGAACGGCCCCTGAGCTGTAGAATCACTTCCACGTTTTAGAAGTAAAGTACATACAGTTCTGCTTTGAGTCTCTGCAAGTCTCAAGAGTCAATCAAGAAGTTTATAATCTGGGGAACCACAGTATTTATTTAGTATTATTTATAGATCCTCTTCCCTGTTTTAAATAGACAGTCTACAATTAACTATAAATGAAAGTGCTGAAGGCCCACTATTAGATCTGCTTATTGAAACAGGCGACAAACTTCACCCTGCAATTCAGGTCTGTGATGTTGATACAAACATATTATCTCATAGCCAAATATCAGTTTTACACCATTTTGAACAACTCCCACAAAGCTTTTTTTAAAATCTTAAAGTAAAACTGGTTAGACACACGTTCCAAGTCATGGTTGAGTACAGTATGTGCTGCATTGTGATGGAGATTCAACACCTCACAAATAAGCTTCTTAGTGACACTTTTTTTTCTCATTCTGCAGGTTTGCACCACTATTGAATTTGACTGAAGGTTGTAATCTGTAAATAAAGCAGCTATACACGAGTGGGAGTGGACGAACCTCTGAGGAATTGAAAACTTGTGGTGAAAATGCGAGAGAAAAGGTCACCGGGAAAGAGGATCTCCTCACACACAAAAGGAGAGCAACCTGTTTTCATGGGAACTGGAGCAGCGGTGGGGATGTTCTGTTTTGTTTGCAGGGCCTAGGGTGCATTGTCAAAACCACTGTGTAAACTTCCTCCAAATCTTAAATGATACTGCGATCTGGTCGACATTTAAACATAATCACAGCTGGGTAAAAAGCAAAGAAGGTGCCATTTTAGGATGGTTCTTGAGATCAGATTTTGGTGATTTCCATGCCTTCAACTGCTTTAAAACCTGATTAAAAAAACCCCCTGAAAAATCCACGGACACCAATGACAAGTTTTTTTCTTTCCTGAAAGAAATATGTGTTTATGTTCCCAACTAAAGCGACTTCCCCTGTGTTATGAAAATGTTGATCCGGGATTACAGCTCATCTCTGTTGGGCCATATCAGCGGCCACCGGCAGTCATTTTAATAAACATACAAAGGAAGCGACGGAGAATTAACTTCACCACATGAACAGATTGCAGACTTAAATAAGACTCTCCTCCATTTATCAACACTGCGTTGCCATGGAAATGCTTGCCGGGGCCAAAAGTGAGCAGATGGCCCGAGAAATCGATGGCTGCGACTCAAACTAGCTGATCCGCTGATTTGCTTCAGACTCGGGGGGAGAGAGTTTGGACTCGCTCTCAGCTTGTGTGAGGGTGTTTGTGTGTGTGTGTATTTTTGCATTGTAAGATATGGGGCAAACATGCACAGACCTGCCACTATCACGCAGTACAAGGGCTTGTTATCTCTCTCTCTCTCTCTCTGACAAGTCAGACATTCCCAGTAGTGTAAAGAGTGGGTGTGACATGCCTGCTAGCAAATGCAGGTGAGCTGAATTAAGAATTTGTGGTTGCTAAGAAATCAGTGGATATAGGCCTGCTTACTTGTTAAAAACTGTAATATTATTTTTAGTTTCAACAAGCACAAAACCATTTAACTAACCTGTGCTGACGTTAGACGTTGCTTAGTGATTTCAGAACTGTGTGACTCTGTACATTACTTCGTGTTGTGATTTTATTGGGCTGAAAGTTGCCAGTTAACAGGTTCACAGACCCAGGATGTGGTTGGAAGGAGAGTACAGGTGATAAGAACAAGGAGGTACTGAGATGAAACATTATCCTGTTGTACCCAAACAAAAAAGAGAATGGAGATCTTAACGTATACCGTGCTGTTGATCCACTTCGGTCAACTGCTGTCATGGGAAATTAAGCTGAGACACTGTTTTCACAAACATACATGTGAAAAAGTTGTTTGAAAAATGGAAAAAAAGCAAACCAATCCAATAAGAACATTTTTTGAATGCATTTTAACATCCATGCTCTTATATAATCTTATATAATCTGCTCTCAACACCACCATTAAAATGCTTTTTTCCCCTGTTCTGTTTATTATTTCACTAATACTGTGGGGCTTTTATTTTGGAAGCTGCTGCACAAATAAAGATTAATCTCATTGTTTTTCTCTTTGTTTTCCTGTTACAGCCCTGCCACTGTATTAATGTGATTATTAATATCAATAGACACAGAAAAAACAGTCAGTCAGACAGACAGTCTGTCCTTAATGCAACTTTCCAATATTACCCATAATCCACCGGGATGCATCTGTGGAGACCTGTCCAGTTGTCATGCTCAGAAGCAGCCAATCAGACCTCATCTTATGTAATCCCTGCATTCATCATCTAGCGGCACCGTGGAGGCAGGCAAATTGTGGAGGAGTGGTTCGCATGTGGGAGCGCACACACACATACACACACACACACATACACACACACACACACACACACACACATAATTCGACCATCATTTTATCTTTGAATCAACCTTTAACTAGACATTGCCCATCAAGACACATTTCATTCTCTTTTATTTTGTCTGTGAGTCTTTTGGCCCTTTTAAACACACACACACACACACACACACACACACACACACTACACACACACACACACACACACACACACACACACAAACCCAGTCCACTCAGACCAGCCATAATTGCGAACATTCCTCTTCCCCGAGCCAAACGTCTCCTGTTGTGCATTCCTCAGACATTAGACCAAGCCGCTGCAGCAGATGGGAATTACTGTAACCGCTTCTGCTTCACTTATGTCATCACACACATTGTATGTGAATTAAGAGTGACGTATAAATCTCTGGATGTTTGGGATGTTATGAATGACGACTGTGTTTTGTTGGCTATGTGAAGCACTGGGCATGTGCACTATGGTGGAAAGTAACACTTCTGCTTATTATACAGCAGGGGGATTATGGCAGTAAAATTGTTTAATAGATTCTTCTGGCCACAGAGAATTTGAAGCCCATTTTCCAGCATGCTCTCACTCCCCAGTATAAATCTCAGAATAGGCCTATGTTTACATGCTATCAGCAGAGAGACAGCTAGCATGTGGCTGATTTTCCTATTTCTAAATACCATTTACCTTCATTTTCATTTGTGGCTTTAAACTGTGTCACATTTTTTGTGGCTGCACTGTAGATTCTTGGGATGTGTAACTTATATATGTTCAGCTGAATCCTCTGGCCCCTCCCTAACCATGATGAAATAGGTAAGGGAATTTGCAGAATTTGTGGGTTTAATTATGCTTTAAGAAAAGTTTTATGTACTACAAGACTTCAGCAAAATTCACCTAGCTTCAACTTGACTCTTGGAAATGGTCCTAATGGCACAACGGCAGGAAGTAGCGTTTAAAACTGCAATGTGCAACATTTTATCTTGAGATAGGAAGTGTACTGTCATTCTTGCCTTCGACTGATAATGGTCCAGTTAACTGTCTGTTAATGCGATTCCCATAGCTAAAGAGAAAGTTTTTCATCTTGTAGCATCATCCCCTTCCCCTCCTACCTCCCCTGAGCGCCTTTCTGCCCGTTGTTCTTTTTTTCTGTCGCTCACTGTACAGTATTAACACACCCGTGGCGGGAAAAGCCAGGCGTGCCATTGTCTGATTGGGGGGCACCGTTAGCTGCGGACAACAGCCGACCAATAAGAGGACCCCCTGCTGCGACAGCTGTCGTGCTGTTTCACTGATCTGTGGGCATTCCTGCTCATTAGCAGCCTTTGTTGTTCATTCTGTGTGTGTGTGTGTGTGTGTGTGTGTGTGTGTGTGTGTGTGTGTGTGTGTGGCGCATAGATGGGTGATGAATTGACTGTGGCAGGTAAAGTAAGAGAAAGAAAATTAATATGCATGAGACTTCCCGGACAGCCAGAAAAAATGTGTGAGGGCATCTTTGTGGCTGAAAACCAGCCGGCTGTTTGTGCACAGCAGGTGCACGGAGCATAGACCTATCAACGCCTTTTCACTGTTTGAAGTGTCACTGGTTTGAGACTCCACCTGTGGTCGGGGGTCCATTCTCTTGTTGTCATAGCGTGGGCGTCGAATGAATAAGCTTTTTCCTTTTGGGACTTCCAAGCTCAAATCTGTCGCTCTTACCTCACACTTCTCGCCAAGTGCCAGCATTCAACCATATTTGGACACAAATGCTCCCATTTTCTGTGTTCTCCTAATCTGGCCCCTTATCTCTGCTAATCGAAGCTATGATAACAGACACTTTGGGCTTCTTTCAGGGAAGAGAGAGAGGGAGAAAGTGAGAAATAAATACTGTCACATTTCTTCTTCAAATAGCTCCCAGAAACTCCAAGGAATGTTAAATGTGGGTTCATCTGCCACACTGTTTGCAGAAAAGAGGAACTCTTATTAAGAGCGTATGCATTCTTTTACTCAATGCTGAGCTCCATTCATCTTTCACCCACTTTTAATGAGAAGTTATAGGTGAGATTATGGCTGAAATCTTAAAATTTCCTGTTTTCAGGTGCAAAGAATATTCTCAAAGTAAAAGAAAAACAAGCAAGAAGCAGTTATTAGAGAAAGTATGTGTTGTAACATATAATCCTTCTGAAACCCAGCTGGTTTTTGGATTTGCTCACCATTTTTAGAGCAGGTAAAATGGTTTTCAAGCATGAGGTCAGCTCTAAAGAATGTGGGCCGTCCCTTCCTCTGTTACACTGAAACCAACCAGATAACCTTCCCATTACAAGGACAATATGTTACCACATCAAGAGGGATTTTTTCGCTCAACCACACGCCCCTGAGCTGAAGAACCTCTGTTTTGGTACAGAGAGCAGTCATTGTTTCAGGAATGTGGGAGGGATGGTGTGCTTATTAAGGCGAGGACAGAAGCTTGGGCCTAAAAAGTCACCCAGCAGCATCTAACTGTATCTAACTCCTTATATGATATCAGCACATAACTGTATTGCTGAATATATTTACTTTTTAACCCCTATTCTTCATTAATATCATGTCCTATCCATCATGTTCTCTAGGATTGTGTTTCTGAATATATTACTGCTTTGTTTTATGTCATAAAAAAGAAACAAATAGGAAAAAATATACCTCCAAATGTGTGCAGTTTTCACAGGGATATGTCACCCATGTGCATGTTTGCTTGCAATGTGTGGGTGTATTAACAATCCTGGTAGTTTCAATGCTGCTGTGTTTTGCAGGGTAGCTTAATGGGCAGGCAGTCAACAACCTGCTTGACACTGAGCTGTCATTGTTTTGTTTTAATTGGCTCATGGTCAAAGAGCGACCCTCGGGACAAACGCTAAGACCAAACACGGTGTCGCCACTGTATAACTGAGGCAAGTAATATTTTACTGCATGCTCAAAAGGTTACCAGTTAAATGCTGCAGGTGACCGTTTTAACCACAGAAATATATTTTTTACGCATTTGATGGTGGGTGGATTCACAATTTGTCACATTTATCATCACATTGCACAAGTATTAATTAATTAATATGTCAGGGATGAGGACTAAAAGTTGGGTTATGCTCAAAAAGAACTAGTGCATTGTCCCGTAACCTACATGGATTTCCTCCAGGAGCTTTTGTTTCCTCCCACAGTCCAAACACATGCAGGTTAGGTTAACTGGAGAAAAAAAGTGTGAATAGTTGTCTGTCTTCATTTGTCAGGATAAACTGGTGACCTAGCCAGATTGATTGATTAACCCAATCTTGAAATCAATGAACACAAAGAAGTTCCAACTTTGGATACTTATAGTCTGTCTTATATAGCTATACTATTCATGTAATTCAGTGCATCATGGTGCATGTGTTGTAATGAGCATCTAGTTTTCTTCAACATGTCTCATCTTTCTTCTGCTGTTTTTACTTCCTATTTCACAGCATTTCATTGCTCAAAAGATACTTTTCCTTGTATCTTTTCTGCAATGCATTCTGGACTCTGGAATAGGTGCAGAAATTGGTATCTTATCCTCCTTTTTCATGGATTACTCAGCAAATTATTGACTGTAGAAAGACGATATTCTGTGTGCATGTGGTATGTTTTATGCATGTTTTTTTTATGAAACTCAAAGTTTGTTGTGTTATCATAATTAATGCGTTGCCAGTTCTCTGTGGGAATGCACTGGACAACAAAATGGGCTCAGAAATGATAACAGAGAGGAAGAGGACGACGAAGAGGTTCATATAGAGAACTGAGAGCGAACTCTCTCCTGCCTAAACCATCTCCACTTCTGCATTCGCCCTCGAAGAGGAGGAAGTGGGAGCGCTGACTTCCTGCTGCTAGCAGCGGTGGGCGCAGGAGTGGGGGCGGTGCCTACCGTGCGTCGACAGTCCTTACCCAGAAGCCTTTGCACAAATTTGAACTGCAGAAAGACAGGAAGTGTGACCCAGGCTTGATAACAGCGGGGGCGGCTATTTCTGAAAACGGCGAGCAGAGAGCAGACAAGGAGGTGTCTGTTCTGTTTCCTGTTGGTTGTTTTGTCAGATGTGTGCGGCTGAATGTGTCTTTATGTGTTAAAATGAACTGTTTGTGCTCTGAGGTCGCCACACCAAATCAGTGACGGACAAAGAAACCTCTACATGAGCTCAGAGATGGCTTTGGAAGTGTGTTTTTGCAGTTTAAAACTATTATTCCTCTTTTTCTTATCACTCAGGAGTGCTCCAAATCATTATTTCTTTGCTACCTGTACAGTTAAGAATACAGCTCCGTATCAAACTATCAGAGGTCAGAACCTTATCTTTATTTACCTGAAGGAAAGACTTCAGGCCTCAAAATGGCCTCCAGATATTGTTATTCAGCTTTTGTAGCCAGGGTTTAAAGGCTGCTGCTGACTCCACATCAGTCTTGGTTTGATAAAAACCTGATGTGGAATTTTGGCCCTCGCCTCCTTCCTTCCTTTTTTCTTCCCTGGGATGCCAAATAAGGCCAGTCTGCCACATCTGCTGAAATTCGTGGTTCGCATTGTTGCTGTCGCTCAGTGTCTTGGCGTCTCGCTCTGACTCAAAGAGCGAGAGAAAGGCAAAAAGTGTGATGTTTGTGTTTGCCCTGCTGACTTGATCCCCTTATTTTACTATGAAATGCATGACATCATCTGGTTTCTTTCCCTCCTCCCCCTTTTTTCTCTCTCACTCATCTATCATT